CCAAAACATTTTAGTTTAAAAGATAACCAGGAGAAACCCACCCATGCAGCATGCACCGTAAGGTTTAGTGCTTCTTATTGGGAGAACCGCGCATTGATTTCGGTTTACTGGCACTCACCCTTGATGGACCACTCGTGTAGCCGGTCCAGAGTCTCTTTTAACCTGACCACCTCCATAGCCCAGGGGTAGAGCATTAGTCTAGGAAAGCAAGGCCGTGAGTCCGATCCTCTCTTTGGGCAGGTTCTCCACCGTCGGTTGTGAAAATAGTTGGTATAAGTGTTGAATCCAAGGCACGTGGGGAAAACACTCCCCGTCGTGGCGATTCTTTCACGGATAGTAGCGTTTTATTCCCTAACATTGCAGAACCTGTGACGGCTCTCCCTAGGGCCCACAACTTGGATGACAGCAAAGGGCTAAGCGGTGGGTCACCAAGCTGCTTCCACATCGCTTTCCTGCCGTCAACATCAGAAAACTGACCAGATTGGGGAACGTCCCTATCGGTACGCCAAATCCGCGACCCAGTCTACTTCGCGTGGTCCTTTCTACTCCGGAGGAACGGAAAGCATTACTGCGGTTTGCATACAAACTTAAGCGTAGCGGTGTCAGCGTTCAGCCGTGCCTTTCACTGGCAGATACATTAAAGTTAAAGGAAGCTAGCAAAGACAACAAAACTAGACGGGCGGCTGGTGGACATGGCCTCCGTCTGGTGGGTTTTCAGGTGTATAGCCGGAAGTTATTTTTCCCCTTATTAGGACCAATCCTGATGGTACACGACCCAAGGATGGTAGCACCGACTTCCTCGAGGTAGTAATTTATAATGTGCGTAGCCGAAGGAACAAGGTGCAGAGTTGGGTCTACTTTGTAGACAAATCTCGTCCCTACATACTTGCTTTCACTGAACCGTGGTTGTCCCCGTATATAACGGATGGTGTGGTGTGTTGACCTGGCTACGCGCTGCTTAGAACTGATCGCTCTGTTGGTCGCCAAGGAGGAGGCGTTTTACTGTGAGTGAGCTGTAACAGGTGTGTTTGAGGACCTGCGCATTCCAGTTGTCGAATCAGACTGCTGAAGCACTATTGTCCGTTTTCTGCACTTCCTTTCCCCAGGTACAGTTTTAGTGATGTACAGGAATCCTGGAAATTACACCAAGGGGATAATTGAGTGTATTCATACGTAATCCGCGAATAAATGTTTAGTTCTAGGTGGTTCGTACCTCCCGGAAGTCTGTTGGGCCGATCTGTCTTGCAATTCGCCGTTAGGAATATTCGGTTCAGACATCCTTGGGATGACTCTGCAAGTGCCTTTGCACGAGTCCGTGGACTTCCTCTTCAAATACCATTAACTTCAGATCTAGCTTTTGATATGTCCCTCGACTTTTTGACTGACGTTTCATACGGTGCATCTCTGGGGTCCAGCGATCACGTATGCATATGATTTGGTGTGTTCTTTCAAGGCACCAACAGAAGGCCGTTAAATCCGTTACGAAAATTAAATAAATAAATAAATAAATATTTTATTCTCGACAAAGCGAGACACGCCCTTTAGGGATGGTCAGCACATTGTATTATTGTACATGATAGCGGAATAAGCAGCACCAACAGTGGGAGTAGTAAAGTTGGAGACAGTAGTGTGGGCCCATAGAGCCCAAAGGTTGTATGTAGTCTATGTACACAGAATGCGAGGGGTAAAAATAGTGATCAGATCACTTATATGGTATGTTGATGAGGAACTAGTTCGATGAGGTCCCGTAAGCAATGTAGGTCAGTGAGTGAAGTATGAGGAAACGGGTGGAAAATACTTAAGAATAGTGGTATGTCACTAGTCAGATATGTAGGCGTGTTCATGCGAGAGCCGATATATGCACAGAACTTATAAATGTGGTGTCAATTAACTTGCCAATGTGTTAGGGGCGGTGACTTTATTGAGGGGCGAGTCACATCCGCCACGTCGCAGTGTTGTTAAGCAGACATTTGTGGCTTTTTGTAGGGAAAACGCTTGCCAGACGAAGACCCACCACGTCCTGGAACACTGCCAGGGGAGATTTGGTGTAATGCGAGCTAAAGCTTAAGTTCTGAAATGTGAGATCTCGATGGCCGACTCCGTCCAGTTAACCTGGGATAAATTTAAGGTATACTTCGGTGGTTTCCGCGCCCTTTATGTCACTCATGAGGAAAACAGGGTTACGGGCACAGCCTCCATGGATAGGTGCCACAGGCAAGTACTTACTCAAGAAATGGCCTAGATGCGGGCGAGCCTACCAAGCAGCTCCATCTGCCAGTATCTACACCAGGTTTGAAAGAGTAGAAGTAAATTTAAGCAAAGATAAGGGCTGCTCGTCTCCAGCACGAGCAGCGTTTTGCTGACGCAGACGCAGCTAATCCCGAGGAGCTTTTGTTTACGATAAAAGACGCAGCAGCGCAAAGCTGTTTATACCAGCGTTCTTACGAGCAGCCAGGACCGATGCGCAAACTGACTATGACAATGCATGTATACATAGTGATCAGTATACCGGGGTCATTTCTCAGAAGACTTCTTTACCACAGGTTGTATTGGCTACAACTCGTCCAGAGAATTCTTGCTGAGCTGTGTTTATCATAACGGCGACTCAGGTCATTGGGCTACTGAAAGGCATTAATCCGCTAAAGCTCCCGATCCCGTTACCATCCATCCGAAATTGTTGCATGAATTGCCCACAGAGCTGCGTGGTCCTCTCAAATGCATGTTTTCAACGTCGATTGACAGCTGCGTCCACCCTTCGGAAAGGAAGAAAGCAAGTACGTGTACGCTTTTTAAGGGCCGTGACAGGGCTCTGCCCCGAAACTACCGGCCTGTCAGTTTGACAGGTGTGGTAAGCTAGTTGTTTGAAATTTGATAAAGGAGTCAGCGGAGAATCACCCGAATAGTGGCAACCGTCTCAACATTGCGCAACACGTTTCCGCAAGGGATTTTCATGTCACCCTAATCTACTTGTAGCTCGTGAAAGCTGAGTCGAAGCGGTAGACAGTGGCCACGTTATACACGTGCATTTCATGGACTTTGCGAAAGCTTTTTACACCGTTCCTCGTCTTAGACTTTCCATTAAGTTGAGCTCTTAAGGTATATCTGGTCGCGCCCTTCAATGTGTGTCTGCTTTCCTTGAGGGGAGGGAACATTGCGTACGAGTAGGGCGTAGCCATTCGCTCAGGCAGCCTGTCCTTAGTGGCGTCCCGCAGGGCTCGGTATTGGGACCATTGCGGTTCGCGATCTATGCAGATGACTTGTCGTGTGCGCTAGGAGTGTCCTCACTAAAGTTTGCTGTCGACCTTAAGCTCTGGAGTATTGTGCATATCACGGAGGGTCCTGAGGCAATTCAGCGTTCCTTGGATAGGCTCTGGAAATGACCTACCTTATGGTTGATGCCCTAAGTAGGGTCAAGTGCTCGGTTCTCCGAATCGGAGCTTCAAATCCTCCCACCGATATATTGTCGGCGGTGGGGAACTCCCTGTTGTCACCCAGCAGTTTGCTTTAGGGGTTCTACACACATCAGCACGTTATTCTGGTGACAATTGGAAGAAGACTGCTTGTCGGGATTTCGTATGATGTGGTTTATCCGCCGCACTTTCGGAATCCTAAAGGCCAATTTGTTTGTGAAGCTATTCTCGGCATCTGTCCGACCCCACCTGGAATATTTTATCCAGCCTTGTCTTTAATGTATTATGCGAGACAAAATGGACTTGGAGAGGTTGTGTTACGAGAGGGCACTCGGTTAGTGCAGGGTCCTCGGGGACAGACGTATCCTGAACCCTTGCTCAGCTTGTGGATGTTCTCAATGCAGTACCGAAAGATAAAAGGGGACGTACTTCTCCCTTAAGATATTTGGTCGGGTAAGATGGCCCCGGACTAGTCAGAGCTATTTTGTCCAGCTACGTTACCTAATCTCGGCCAGCACGCACTGAAACTGCATAAACCACGGTATGATAGGATTAAGAGTACAACACGTTTGCCGCGCCGAGTTATAGATCGCTGGAATTCGCTTCCAGGTCACATGGTCAGGGAACCTAGGGTTAAGGGTTTTGCGCGTTAGCTTGATGCTTTTGGAGGACAACTTATCTTCTTCTTAACTGACTCACCTTAACTTTTCAATTCTGTTTTAAATACCTTAATTAGCTTGGTTTTCTACTTGCTTAGCTCGTTCCACTCTCTCCTTTTGCCTTCCAAGCTTAATTTTTCTCTTTCTGAATTCACGTAACCGTCTCAGCAGGGAAAACTAGGCAGGGTAGGTGGGCAAAATTTATTGGACAGGGTGTGGTGCAGCGTTTGTTTTGGCTGCAACAATACTATACAGTCTGCCAATTCCTGTTTCAACGACCTGCTGAAGAAGGAGCATTCACGGGATAATCTTATCATGCCATTCCTGCTTGAACTCGTACTTGATATTGCCTGCTTGCTCAAGGCTGGCAAATGTACCGGCTGAAAATTGGCCCATAGGGTTACTAAAGCTTATTGACGTGCCAGCTGTTTGTGGTCTACATGATAATTATAGCCATTAAACGTGCTTTGGCATTTTCTTCTTTGGGCCCAAACATAACTGATCTACTGTAACTAGGCTATTTGCAGTCAATGTGATGCAGTGTTTGTTTTGGCTCCAACAGTAGTTCAAAGTCTGCCAACCTGTTTCAACAACACACTGAAGAAGGAACACTCACGGGATAATCAGATTCAGATTCAGATTCAGATGGACTGAAACGATAGGAAAATCTCTTGAGTGTTCCTTCTTGAGCAAATCGTTGAGCCAGGAAATGATAAGGTGTTAGTTCTTGATAGATCTAAAACGAAACACCCGAAACACCCTGATCAACCAACTACTGCCCACGTTCCCTGCACTAGCAGTCCGCGCTGTGTAGGTTACGTGAAGTAAGAAAGAAGTAGAAAGTAAATGGAAGATAAAGAGGAATGAAAGTCATTAAAATGAAGGATAACACTAAAGAGTGAAGATAATGACAGAATAAGAACTGAAAGTTTGAAGATGGATATGGTCAGGAGAAGGGAAAGGTTTCGTGTTGCCACCCAAGAGCGTCTAACTGACGCTCGAAACCCTTAACCGTAGGTTCACTGACTACATTTTCTGGAAGCGAGTTCCAGCGCTCGATAACTCTACGCGATAACCGAGTTTCCGCCCTGATCCCGTCAGAACGCGGCTTGTGTAGCTTCATGGGATGACCGCGAAGACAAGGCAACCTAGCCGGGCTAAATAGCCAGCTCAAGTCCGGCCCAACCTTCCCTGTTAAAATGCGGTAAGTAAGGATTAGGTCTCCTCGAAGCCGTCGGTAGTGCATTGAATACATACCCAAGCTAAGTAGACGCTCGGGGTACGATTGCCCCCGTAACCCCTCGACCAATTTGGTACCTACTCTCAAAACGCTCTCAAGCTCCATTTTGTCCCGAACAAGGCAGGGCGCGCAAGCCTGGACGCAGTATTCCAGATGGGGCCGAACGAAAGCTGAGAATAGCTTCACAAATATGTCGGCAGTTAAGACCCCGAAAGAACGGCGTATTAACCATAACATTCTGAAACCCTACTAGCGGCCTTCTTCCAGTTGTCACCAGAATGCAAAGACGAGGAATGAACGACACCTAGATCTATCTGGTTGGAGACAAGGGGGAGTTCGACCCCACCGAGTACGTAGCTCGAAGGCGGGAAAGTTGCTCCTATACGAAGGACGGAACACTTAGCCTGATTTATGGGCAGTAGCCACAAAGAAGACCAGTCCCAGAGTCTGTCCAGTGCACGCTGTATGGCCTCAGAACCCCAGGAACATTTACAACATTCCATAGCTTAAGGTCATCAGCAAACAATAAGGGTGATACCCCAAGCTCTCCAGGGAGACCGTTTACGTAGATGGAGAACAGCATCTGTCCTAGGACCGAGCCCTGTGGGACACCGCTAAGGACCGCTTGACTAAAGGATAAGCTGCGACCCACACGTACACACTGCTCTCTTGCCTGCAAGAATGCACATACCCAGTGAAGAGCGCGGCTAGATACGCCATAGGAGTTCAGCTTTTGGAACAGCCTCAACTGGGGTACCTTATCAAATGCTTTCGAGAAGTCGACGAAAAGCACATCCACTACGTGGCCATTGTCCACTGCCTCGGCCCAAGCTTCACGAGCAACCAACAAATTCGTCAAACACGCAAACCCCTTCCGGAATCCATGTTGTGCACTGCTGAGCAGATTAAATCTATTCAGGTGACATTCCAACTAATCTCTCACCAGCTTTTCAAGCAGTTTGACCACGACGCTAGTCAGACTAACTGGCCTATAATTGGCTGGCAGACTCCTGTCGCCATTTTTGAAGATAGGACAGATGACAGCCTCCTTCCATTCGGAAGGTAATGTACAGGTGTCAAGTGATTTCTGAAACACCATCGTCAGCGGTCCACTTAGTTAACCCGCCAACTCATGCAGAAGCTTCGGGTGAATTGAATCAGGTCCAGCTGCTTTGGAAGGGTTCAGTTCTTGCAGCAGTTTAAGGACTTGCGTTTCCCCACAGTAAAATCAGCTAAATAAGAACCATCAGGTACTCTGGGGACAAATTCAACGCTAGTCCTGCTTGAACGTTTACTTGATCCTGTCCGTATCCAGATGGCTGGTAACTGTACGGGCTTAAAATTGGCCCGAAGGAGTTTTAAAGATTAAGCTGACGTTTTAGCTTTTTGCAATTTACATGGTAATTATACCCATTAGATGTACTTATGCCATTTTCTTCTTTGGGCTCTAACAAGACCTGGACCTGCAGTAGCGCACGCTATTCACAGTCATCCCCGTCCCCTTCCTGCTTGTTCCTATCAGTGTGATTCCCTGTCAAAGCTGAGAAAGCAGATCGATTGCACCCACAGGCCCATCAAATGTTTATTCTTCCTGATGGAGTCGGACGAAGATAGATTGAATGTCGCGTCTAGTAGCGACGTTACCAATCCTACTGATAAACAACCTGGGCGTGAGTTTTGTGAGGTGCTCTTTTGTGTACTTACTGAAGTTTCATCCGTTTACTCCCGTGTGTGCATGCATAAGCGCATTGGTTATGGTACACATTTATTAATCTTGTCTTACTATGGATAGCTGTATGTGCTTGTCCGTTTTTAACATTCGCTGTTTGTAATGTCTTCATCGGCTCATGTATGCTCAACTTCAAGTTCAGATTGTGCTAAGGGATATGATCAGCCTAAGATGTGCGAGATAGGTCTGCATGTAGATGGGTCTCATCCATTCACTGGAACGTGGCTGTCTCAGGATATCACGGACGGTGAAGTACATCTGACTGGCTACGCACTATTTCAATGTGATCGCTTTGTTGGCCGACAAGGCAAGGGCGTTTCGCTTTACGTTAGCTATGAACGACAGTTTGCATACCTACATATTTCAGTCGGCATATAAAACGGTCGAAGCTTTGTCGGTAGTGATTAGCACTTCCTCTGCTCAACTTACAGATGTAATTGTGTAGGAGCCATGGGAGTGCGTCCAAAGTGGTGCTTGACTTTATTCGCTCCCAATCTGAAAACAGTATTTGATATTTTGGGACTTAAATCTACCGGAAGTTTGCTGGGTAGATCTTTCTTACAACTCGGCGGAAGGTACTTTTAATGCAGATCTTCTTGAGCTTACGCTACAAGTACCGTTGCATCAGTTCGTGACCCCACTATGTACGTGGATGCCCAAGTACCGTCTATTTTGGATCAAGTTTTAGGTGTGCTCTGACCGGACGTCGCCAGCGCATCGCTGAGCCATATCCAAACATATTTCGTGCCATCTGGATTGCGTTGCGAAATCTAGGTGGCCGTTACCGTTCAGGTGTTGAGAGATGCGTTGGAAGGTCACCTGAATAGCTTTACTATATTCAGTAGTGCACAGCACGGATTCCGGAAGGGGTTTTCTTGTCTGGCAAATTTGTTGATCGCTCGTGAAGCTTGGGCCGAGGCAGTGGACAATGGCCACGTAGTGGATGTGCTTTTCGTCGACTTCTCGAAAGCATTTGATAAGGTACCCCAGTTGAGGCTGTTCCAAAAGCTGAACTCCTATGGCGTATCTGGCCGCGCCCTTCACTGGGTATGTGCATTCTTGCAGGCAAGAGATCAGTGTGTACGTGTGGGTCGCAGCTTATCCTTTAGTCAAGCGGTCCTTAGCGGTGTCCCACAGGGCTCGGTCCTAGGACCGATGCTGTTCTCCATCTACGTAAACGATCTCTCTGGGGAGCTTAGGGTATCGTCCCTATTGTTTGCTGATGACATTAAACTATGGAATGTTGTAAATGTCCCTGGAGGTTCTGAAGCCATTCAGCATGCCCTAGACAGACTCGGGCTAGTCTACATTGTGGCTACTGCCCATTACTCAGGCTAACTATTCCGTCCTTCGTATAGGAGTAACTTTCCCACCGAGGTACGTGCTTGGTGGGGTCGAACTCCTCCTTGTCTCCAACCAGGTAGACTTAGGCGTCGTCCATTCCTCGTCTTTGCATTCTGGTGACAACTGGAAGGCCGCAAGTAGACGTTTCAGTATGTTATGGTTAATACGCTGTTCTTTTGAGATTTTAACTGCATACATATTTGTGAAGCTGCTCTCAGGTTTCGTTCGGCCCCATCTGGAATATTTCGTCCAAGCTTGCCCGTCTTGCCTTGTCGGGAAAAATGGAGCTCGAGAGGGTTTTGACAGTAGGTACCAAATTGGTCGAGGGCTTACGGGAGAAATTGCACGCCGAGCGTTTACTTAGCTTGGGTATGTATGTATGCACTACCGACGGTTTCGAAAGGACTTCATCCTTACTTACCGCATTTTAACAGGGAAGCTTGGACCAGACTTGAGCTGGCTGTTTAGCCCGGCTAGGTTGCCTTGTCTTCGCGGTCATCCATGAAGCTACACAAGCCGCGTTCCGACCGGATCAGGGTGGCAAGTCGGTTATCGCGTAGGTTATCGAGCGCTGGAACTCGTTTCCAGAAAGTATAGTCAGTGAATTTACGCTTAACACTTTCGAGCATCAGCTGGACGCTCTTGGATGGCAACACAAAACCTTTCCCTTCTCCTGACCATATCCGCCTTCCAACTTTTCGTTCATATTCTGTCATTCTCCTCACTCTGGTCTTATCCTTCATATAAATGACTTTCCTACCACTTTTCCATTTTCTTTCTACGTCTTCTTTACTCCACATGACCTACACAGCGAGGACTGCTGGTGCACGGACCTTGGGCTGTAATTGGTTGACCAGGATGTGGTTCGGGTGTTTCGTTTTAGATCCATCATGACCTCGTAGCACCTTATCATTTCCTGGCTCAACGATCATCTCAACGAGGAATACTCAAGGGATTTTCCTATCGTTTCAGTCCCATCTGAATCTGACTGGAGCGGTAGGAGAATCCAGTACGTGTTCTTCCTTCAGCAGATTATTGAGGTAAGCAGTTGCTAGGGTGCTGAATCTAAAACGAAATACCCGAATCATACCCTGGTCAACCAATTACTGCCCACCCTTCCTGCACTGACGTCGTCCCGTAGCCTAGAGGTAACGAGGTCGTATCGTAATCTTGCGGCGCAAGTTCGAATCTGCGTCGGGGTGGGCGTCCCCGCGGCATACTCAGCCCGCGTGCGACTGGCGGTGGAATCACCCTGTTCACTCTCTACTGTTTGCGAGCATTTAGTTGCATCATTTCCTTTTATGGACTAGTAGCTGACGCCCAGTCTTCGCTTGGGGGCTTTGAACGTCATTTAGATGTTCCTCGGTAGCAATGTCAAACTCCCATTTTCCTGACCGCTTTCAGCTTTCTTTTGTTTATTTTAATTTCTCTCATACCTTGCTATTAACATTATTTGATTGACTTCCCTCTTACATTGACGGATGACCGTTGTCGTGCTACATACTACTTTATAAACTACAAGGAATCGCTGTTTCTGGGAACATTCTATCTTGGATTGCCGATTTCTTGGATGACCGGACCATTCGAGTCAACCTGAACGAGTGTTACTCTGCTCTTGTGCTCATGACTAGCGGTGTCCCGCGCGGATCGATCCTTGGCCCAGAGCTTTTCATGATCTTCATCGATGCCTGGAATCCCTGTAAAAGTTTTTCGGGAACTGAATTCGTGGGCACTTAGTTGCTCTTAACTTTATAAAGGTAGAGCAGCGCCGCTTCTCCAAGAAAAAGTCATGTTTCACTAATCTGTGCTTTTTGTATGCGATTACCCGCTTGACTCCGTTAAATGTTTCTTATCGGAAAAGCTAATATGCTTTTGGATACATTCCAAATCATTGAATTTGATAGCAGAATTCCTTTGCAGGAACACTTTGTGCTATAATTGTTGACTCCAGCTCAAGCACAGGCACCGCTCACAGTGGTGTTCCCCAGCATTCTGTTCTTGGACCGCCATCGTTCTGTATATAAATAACTAGGATCTCCTTTACAACTCCATGTCTCTGCGGACGATGTAAAACTCTTAAATATGGACAAATGGAACACTTTCGGAAGACCTTTGCACTGTGATGGAGTAGTAGTTCTTGTGGTACTTGCCTCATTGTCAAAAGATGTCAACCATCATCCTCCAACAGAGAATTACAGCGCAAACTGCTGGCGGTACCTTGACGTTGTGTTGCGTTGATGAAGCGCGTGATCCGGGTATCATTGTGATGAATAACTTTAATGATCAACACCCTATCACCACACAGTCAACAAAGCGTGGCCAAAGCTATTCCGTCTCAAGAGAGCGTTTTGCAACATTAAACCTGCGGTTTTTCTTCCCCTATATAAGTGGGTGGCAATTAGAATACTGTGTGCAGGCTTAGGTACCGTATCTCCGGAAGAATGTTTCGCATAGCATATGTCCAAAAATGCGCGGTAGGATAATTATGGGCCAGCCTGGTAAGTCATATGGTGAACGTCTTAAGAGCATAAGGCTGTTTTACATGGAACGGCGCAGATTGATAGTGGATCTGATAGAAATTTTCAAAGTTATGAACTGCCTCAGTGGTGTTAAACTTTCCGACCTTTTCGAACCAGCTATTTCTGACTACTTACTGGGGCATAGACTTAAGCTTAAGCATCAGAGGTTTAGGCTAGAAATTAGAGCCAAATTCCTCGCGAATCGTGTAGATAATGGTTGGAACAAACATTTTTTCTGCCTTGACTGGAAGTACCACTGTAGAAGCCTTCAAAAAGGCTTGGATAAGTGTTGGTTGGATCTTCTCCCGGAACTATTAGAACTTTACTGGCAGTTGTCACAGACGTAGTATTCTTCAATCCGAGAAAGTTTAGACGTTGCTGCTGTTTTTGCTTCACTCCTTTTACATAAGCAAGGGAGGCAACGCAAACGTCGAAGTACCGAAGACCTTTGTTTGCTTGCTAGTACAAGAAACAGGACGCTGGAACCTGATGTGACCTACCTTGAGCTTACCAGTAACTTTCATGGATCTGACTCGGCATAGACTACTGGGCAAGATAGGTGGTCAACAACTGGTTGGCCAGGATGTGATGCGGTTTTTGGTTTTAATTTTATCAATATCTCAAGTTGTCCTATGGATTCCTGATCCGACGATGCGCAGTAGGAATATTCACGGTATTATCCTATTGTCCCGGTCCCGACTACATTTGAACTGGGCTTGCATCACTATTATACTAGCAACTGATGCAAACAGAAGCTAAAGTCGGGTTAAAGAACAGTAGTTTGACATTGTGCAGCCAAGCTAAAACGGGAGCTAATTATTACCTTGCTCATTACCTCAGATATTCAACCTTGATATCTTGGAGGGCTTGGCCACTTTTCTCAACTTCCAATTTATCATTGTTCCCAGTCACTATTCAAGTCCTTTCATTCTCACTTGTCCCTCACCATTATCATCTTATTTTTTCTTACGTATTGTGGCACAATAGTTGTGGTATTTCCACCTCTAGCTAGCATATATAATGAATCTGATGACTAGAAGAACAGAAAACGAATAGCATCGACAGTACGCCGATACGC